GTACAACCATACGGAAATAATGTTTCGAGATCGAGACTCACCCGAACTGTGATTACTCGGATTATGCGAATACTTGCGACAATTGAATTTATTCTGTTATTTTTTATTGTACTAATGTCTGAAGAGGGCTCAAACTGGTAGCCGAAACTTGTTACTTGTAATGTATTAGTTTATAGTTTTATTATTTATTAATTTTTGGCGTGATGTTTCATCGCGTTTAATACAATATATAATTTTATGTAAAAATTAAAAAATGTAGTTGACTCTTACTTCGCCCGCTGATTGAGTTTTGTTATTATGTTTTGAAAGAGTCCTTTGAATTTGTTTATTTATTTAAACATTTTTATCACGCGAGTCTCAAAGTCTAAAATGAATTCATTCGCATGCTAGCATCTTGTGGAGAGGTAACTAGCATCTTTATAAAATCCAGAAGGACAGATGCTGAAAAAATACACGATGCTAGGCATTTGCATAAATTAAAGCGTTCTTAGCGTTCTGCGCTGCTCTTCTGACGCAGCGACATGTTAAAATTCGAAATTTTGCGAGTTCTTTCGCCGATTTTTTCTGCCTCCCGTACGGTGTCCGGAAGTTTCGTTCCTAAAGTTTCCGGGAAAATCAAAGACAAGACGCCTGCGATCATACCCATAGTCCCAAACAGAATAAATGGCAACGAAGGCATTATTTGCATCTGAATGTAAATAAGAGAACGTCATTAATGAAATGTTTCAGACAATGTAGTTTGTACGATAAATTTCTCAACGGTAATTGAGAAGTTCATGTAAAAAAGATTGCAAACATGCTATTTCAAATATTCTTCGCGTGCTCGGAAAAAATATTATAAAATACCACTAATATTACTTATAAAATCATATTGTTCCCTTATTTCAAAAGTGACAACTCAAAAAATTAAACTTTCTAGAAATTATTTTTTAATAATAGAAAATTATTGACTGCTTAAATCGATAATATCATCAAGAAGAATGTACTCTTAGAAATATGATCAAGTGTTATTTTTGTTTCACAATTCTTAAAAAATTATTTTGAGTTGTCATAATTTTGATATCCTATAAAATTATAACAAATTAGGAATAATTCATCAAAAGTAACATAACTTGAAATATCAATATCAACCAACAGTTTGTCTGTATTTACCTTGAGCAGAAATAACTAAATTTAAAATAAAACAATTCTTTTTTAAACTTTTATTATTAAAACTGTCTTAACTCTAAATGTTCTCTCTAGGAGACTTTCTTTTTTATTAACAAAAATGATAACTAAAAATTGTGAGAGTCGATATAAGTGCTATTTAACGAAGTGACTGATAGAGTAATCTTTACTTAACTTATTCATGTGGTAATAACTCGAAACCACATTTTTTGTTACTTTTAAAGCAAGGGACTGATATGCACATTTATCAGGTTTAGAAAGAATATAAACATGAGAATGTATCAATGATATTTTTGAATATATAATATTATCTACAAGAACAAAAGTTTCTTGGAAATCCTGTTAGATCCGAAATTATAGAAGAATAGATCCGCAAATCTGAAAGATATTCGTGACGGCGCGATACAACATATCAAAGCGTAATTTGGGAAGCACATATTAAGAAAAATCTATGTTTATTGAAACGTTTGTTCATATTGACTCACCAAGAGAGGCGTCTGCGGTGCTAAGATTGATCCAATGCGGCCGATCATGCTGCAAAATCCGAGCAGGGAATTTCTGAGCGTTGTCGGGAAAAGCTCTGCCGTGAAGATGTAAGTAGTAGAGAACGCCATGGCGATACACAACTTCCCGGCCATGTATAAAAATAAAGGTCCATAATTCCCGGTTCCTGAAACAGAGCACCAATAAATCATCAGAATCGCGCGCCGTGGCAACTCATTATAAACTAATATAATTACATGAACAACACGATTGTGACTAATTGTAAACCGATCCATTTCTCCTTTTGCATATGGACCAAATCGATTTTGAAGAATATTTTAAGTGACGAAGAAGGATAGTTTTTCAAACAAAAGGATGCCGACGCATATTTGATCAGGATATTTTTTATTTATTGACTTGCATTTTATAGAAGTAACTCTGTACGAAAGGAGAAATGGGCTAAATCATTTCTGAAAAGTCACTTCAGGAACGTACCAAACTTCAATCAGGTCTGTCTGAGAAACCTCTTTTCTTTATCTCTTTACCTGCCGGTACGAACTGACTTGCGAGACAGAACAGCCCGCTCAGCATGAATGCACCAGAAAGCGTTGATTTACGGCCAATGCGATTGTTCAGCACGCAGCCGATGCAAAATGCTGGTATCTCGACTATCGCAACGAGTATGAAATTCAGGTACTTATAGCCGCCGAACGCCACTGAATTTAATGATAGTCCGTAATAAACAAACGTATTTGTAATCCAACAGAACGAGCAGACCAGCAGTCGAATAAGTATCACTGAGCTATGTAGAACTTGCACGATCGGTTTTCTCTCGTCCAATACCAGCTCGCTTTTCTGAAAGATCCGCGTATCAATGTCGTAATTACAAAGATCATATGCAACTTACTACTTTGTACTAGCGTAATATTTATAGAGTAATACAAAAGTTACTGTACTGAAAGTTATGAACTATAGTTGTATCTTAGATAATAATAGGTAAATTTGCAAATAAGACATTTTTATTGCCAATTAGATATACGTTTGAGAAAGAAAAAAAAAGGTGAACGTACTGTTTCAGCTATATGTTCTCTGAACATATTGATGGCCTCGTCCGTTACTTGCAGGCCGTTCATTCGGGCCATTTTATAGTATATTTTATCCACTTGTTCATGTTTTTTCTTTGACATTAACCATCTTGAAAACGATATTATGTATCGTACATATATTTTGCAAATAAGAGAATGAAAATGACATTCCACCGATGTGCAAATGTTCATTAAGATTATACAAGATTACCTAACTGATTCTGGAATGACCAAAGGTAGGAAAACAGCTAGCA